ATGGACGCGGGGCTCCAGGGTGCGGGGCTCTTTGGCAACGACCGCAAACGTATCGGTGTCCAGCCATTCACCCCTTCCGGAATGTTCTACTTTTGCAGCCTTATCGCAGGTTTTTCGAAAAACGTCGAAAAAACACAAGAATTAGTAGAAATGTTCCTGTTTTGGGCGGATTATTGATAGAGAGTAATGTCTTTATTACAAAAAATGCTGAAAAACCGTGAGGTTTTGCCTCAAGTTATTTTTTTATTGGTGAAAAACTGCGAACTCGGCAAATTTGGTTGCACAACTTCCCTTTATCATATACACCCAGCGACACCGATGCCAGCTGACTGTGGTGTGTACGACAGACATTGGGCTGATTGTCTGACCTAATGCAAGGCATATTTTAGATACCCGCCATCATATAGTATTTTCTCTTCTCAATAGAGTTGCATGAACAAATAGCATAGTTCATAATTTCTCTTTCAGTTTTTACTTGTTTCAAAAACGTTGTTTCATCTCTTTGCCGGGGAATCCTCGAAAGTTCAGACCCTGTATCTGTCTTTTTTAAAACAAACTGCGATATAACATTTAGAATTCCATTGGCATGACCCTGTCCACTAACTTGCCCCGGTCACACAATCGTATGATAATGTTTCAGGCTGCCGGAACTTTTTGGCAAGTCATTATTGACACGTAGAAGATATTGCATATCGAATTATTTATCAACCAAATAAACAATGTGTCACCGTGACTATGCGATAAATGGTACACCAGTGTTGTTATTTACTTAAATGTCACGTGTCAAAGTTATGAATAATGTTCATTCGACTGGCGAGAATGCTGCTCGTTCGTTTGTGAAATTGTGCATAATTTAGCGTATATATATCAGTGACAATATTTCGAGCGAAAATGCTTATTTTAATCGTTTTAGAATAAGTCAACAATATGTATATACTTTTTAGTCCATTAGCATTATGTTTCTAGTAATATAATAGTAATATGCATAAATAGTATTTTATCAGCGCTTTCTATAAAATGCTGTATTACGTCCTACTATCATAACACTAACAGACAATAAACATTAGTAACGAAATAGTGCATTACGTCCTACTATAATAACACTAGTAGATAATACATTTTAGTAACGAAATAGTGCATTACGTCCTACTATCATAGCACTAGTGTAGATAATACATTTTAGTAACGAAATAGTGCATTACGTTCTACTATCATAACACTAGTAGATAATACATTTTAGTAACGAAATAGTGCATTACGTTCTACTATCATAACACCAGTAGCTAATACATTTCAGTAAGGAAATAGCGTATTACGTTCTACTATCATAACACCAGTAGATAATACATTTTCGTAACGAAATAGTGCATTACGTCCTACTATCATAACACTAGTAGATAATACATTTTAGTAAAGAAATAGTGCATTACGTCCTACTATCATAGCACTAGTGTAGATAATACATTTTAGTAACGAAATAGTGCATTACGTTCTACTATCATAACACTAGTAAATAATACATTTTAGTAACGAAATAGTGCATTACGTTCTACTATCATAACACTAGTAGATAATACATTTTAGTAACGAAATAGTGCATTACGTTCTACTATCATAACACCAGTAGCTAATACATTTCAGTAAGGAAATAGCGTATTACGTTCTACTATCATAACACCAGTAGATAATACATTTTAGTAATGAAATAGTGCAATACGTTCTACTATCATAATACTAGTAGATAATACATTTTAGTAATGAAATAGTGCATTACGTCCTACTATCATATCACTAATAGATAATACATTTTAGTAACAAAAAGGTGCATTACG